GGCGCCGAGGCGGCGGAGCACGAAGCGGGGAACTCTGGGGCGTTCGCGCTTCCCGCTCTCTCCCTTCTTCTCAGCGCTGAACCTCCATCATCCACTCTCGCTAGGCTATGGCTCCGGTTCGTCCCCTCACTTGCTTGCTTCCTCGCTCGCTGAGTCGGCTCCTTCGCATCGCAGCCTAGGGCTCGAAGCTCGCGGCGGGTGTGGTGGTGGTGAGTCCGCACTCCCTTCTCTTCCCGCGTCCTACAGTTATCCCCTACCCCGCTGCGTGCAGGCTACGAGAGCAAGGGGTTTCCTGGGCTCGAAATCTGCTGTCGACCTCAGCACCGCCCTTCGCGGCTTGCGGGAGGTGAGGGAATTCGCTGCACGTACCGTGATCAGGAGCGAGGAGCAGCTTCTCTCGCTTCTCACACTCGCTGCTGCTGGGCCATGACTTGCTCAAGTCTGTTAATGGCTCGCAGTGTCTCGGAACAAATCCTGATGGGGTAGGCGGACTCGAGCGACGACAAACTTCGCTCCTCCCTCCGCATTGCTCAACGCGATCGCTACTCCCGCCCTCGACAGCGAACGTCATCTGCACTCTCGGATTGGCGCAGTCCGTGGCTTCCGAGCGGGGAGACGAGGCGTGATGGCTGCATTGCGACCAGACGAGCTGGTCTCACGTGTGAGGGAGGGCAATGCTCGCTTTTCCAGTCGTAACCGCTTCCGGCGTGCGTGACGAGCGCCTTGGTACTGTACTCGCTGCATCGTCTGAACGGCGCGTTCCACGCTCTTCAACCTCTTCGCTTCCGACTTCTCCGACATCTCGCCTCGTCCGACCGGTGCGACCTAATCTGATCTGAGCTCGTCTTGGCGTGCATGCACCGGGGACCACGCACTTCGTCCTCGTCGATTTCGAGGGTGGCTTCCAAGCGTTCCTCCTCGTCCTACGTCGCACCAGCTACCGCCTACAAAGGCGCGCTCGCCTCCCTCGCTCCTCCTTCTGCCTCCATCACTCGCCTCCACCACAGCCTCGACGACCTCCTCCAGCCACAACACTCCCGACATGTTCACCACCAAGACCATCCTCGCCATCGCGGCTCTCGCAACGGCCTCCTTCGCCGCTCCCAGCGTCGTCATTGAAGACAAGGGCCTCAAGGGCGGTACGTCTTCCTCCCTCTCTCCTTCGAAACCTTACGCATTGACACTGGCCGCACGCAGGATACGGCGGCTTCGGCGGCAAGAACGCTGTCGCTCACGGCAGCGCGGCAGAGCAGAGTGCGTTCCGCTCGCCTCCCGTCTTCCCTCTTTCGCTCGCTGACTCTCTCCTTCGCTCGCTCGGTCTCCGCAGACCACGCCAACGAGTGGGCCGACGCCGACCACTACAACAACGGCGCCAACTACGCCAAAGGTGCGTCCCGCATTCCGTTTCTCTACGCCCTCGCTAAGTCCGCTCGCACGCAGCCGACCACGCCGGCGCCGCGCAGAACTTTGGCCACAACAAGGAGTACAACCACGTTGACGGTGCCTACGACCGCGCAAAGGGCAATGCGGAGGAGTACAACGCCGCGAAGGCGTACGGCGGCAAGGCGGGTCACGCCAACGCTGAGACCGCCGGCGCCGAGGCGGCGGAGCACGAAGCGAAGAACTCTGGTGCGTTCGCGCTTCCCACTCTCTCCCTTCTGTTCTTGCGCTGACGTCCTCTCGTCCGCTCTCGCCAGGCTACGGCTCCGGTTCGTCCCCTCCTCACTCGTCCGCTTCCTCAGTTCGCTGACTCCGCTCCGTCGCATCGCAGCTTACGGCTCGAAGCTCGGCGGCTACGGCGGCGGCTACGGCGGCGGATACGGCGGCGGATACGGCGGTGAGTTGAACCATCTTCTTGCCCTCACTCTCGCTCGAGGCTGACCTCTTCCTCTCCCTTGCGCAGGCTACGGTGCCAAGGGTCTCGGCGGATACGGCGGAGGCTACGGCGGTGCGTCCTCGCTTTCACTCCCTTCTTCCTCGTTCGCAGCTGACCTCGCC